CTGGCCCTCCAGCTGTGGTAGAACTACAAATCCCATGAGGCATTGCAAGATTCTCACAGACATGACTCCTGGAGAGAGATGCATCATGGGATTTGTAGTTTCACCACAGCTGGAGGGCTGGAGTTTGGCTACCCCTGAGCTAGTATATAGTTACATGTTTCACACAAACCGTGGGGTGTCAAAGCCTTATGATGATATCTGTAGCTTCAATTACATATTTTGGAGGTATAGATTCTACACTGTTATTTTGCCATATTCATTAGGTATGCAATCCAAAATTATACAACTGGCTGAACTTTTTATTATAGTTTATTATTTTTTTTTCTACTTGAGCATTTCCAGTGAAATTTTAGTCCAATCCAGATATACAGAGATCTCACTGAACAGGACCCTGCAATCTATACAGCCTGATGCTGGAGATTCTAAGCTGGTATACTGAGCATGTACAATACGGTATAATGTGCTGCCTCCTGAGAATTGACTCCGATAATCCTCTTTTCAAAATGTTAATGCACGGTTCACATTTTTTTAAAAATTAATTACTTTGATTGTTTACCCACTTGTTAAAAACAATTTGGACATTTTTGTTAAATATTTCTCCCAGCTCATACTGGAGGACAAATAATTCCACCCAATCTGTCTTAAAGTAACACTAAACTCAGGAGTTAAATATTAAAAATACAGTACCTTAACTATTAACAATACTGTATATTATTTGTGTAGCACTCAAATCATCTCTGAATTGGTGCTGGCACTGTCCTTCCTTCTGGAGGGGGGCTACTTTTGTTCCTCATGGTCCCTGTGTGTTGTAAAGTAGCCAACGCTCCAAGCTCGCTCCTGTGATGGACTACAATCTCACCTTTAGTTTACGAATTTGTATTGGCGGTATAGTCCATCCTGGGAGCGAGCTTGGAGTGGTGACTACTTTACAAAATAAGCAGGGACCATGAGGAACAAAAGTAGCCACCCTCAGGCCGCTACCGGGAAGGACAGGTGCTGCGTGTGATTGTGCGCAGAAGCCTGTTCTTCTCTATGGGAGTACGTGGCCGTACGCTCACCCGAGCTGCACATCTGTCCGGGTGCAGATGTCCGTACTTGAACGCAGACAGGATAGATCCTGTCCACGTCCGAGCAGGGACACCCGCACCTGCAGGGATGTGCAGTTTAGGGAGCGGCCCGATACAGCCGTGCACGCCGCACGCATCCAGTTGTTTGATGGAGTGTATATCTGGAGGAAACTAGGCTTGTGGTAGGGGTATGTCCTTTGCATATGAAATTAATAGTAAAAGGTGTCCCTCTTTCGCAGCTCAGGTTGGGAGTAATGCACTCCTTTTTCTATAAAGGGAACAATATCAGATTTAATAAAGAGACTTTGCTTGAAAATGTGTTAAAAAGCAGAGCACGTATAATTATAGCTGACTTACCTACTACTATAGTGTCAAATTATAACATAGAATGGCAGGGCAGGACTGGGCCAGGAGGCAATTGCCCCCGGGCAGTAGCTTAACTACCGCCCTGCAGGGGCAAAGGGGTACCCGGTCAGGAGGCTGGGGCCCAGCAGCGGAGATGGAGGAGGCCGGGTCCCGGCATTGCCAGTCCGGAGGTGGGGTAGGCCGGGGCCCATCATCGCCGGTCCAGAGGTGGAGGAGGCTGGAGCCCATCATCGCTGGTCTGGAGGTGGAGGAGGCTGGGGCCCAGCATTGCCAGTCCGAAGGTGGAAGAGGCCGGGGCCCAGAAGCAGGTAATGGGAGCTGCTTGTGCAGGGAAAGGGACCCCAACCAGCCCATCTAAGACCCTGCAGAGCCCACCATAGAGAGTGTCAGGTGGGCTATGCAGGATCTATGGTGGGCTCTGCAGGGTTACTCTCAGGTGAGCTCTGCGGGGTCTCAGCTGGGTCCACATTCCACTACATTCATAAGTCCAGAGTCCAGTGCGTTCCTAAGTCCTGAGACCAATGCGTTGCTAAATCCTGAGCCCAGTACATTCCTAAGTCCTGAGCCCAGTATGTTCCTAAGTCCTGAGCCCAGTGCGTTCCTAAGTCCTGAGCCCAGTGCATTCCTAAGTCCTGAGTCCAGTGCGTTCCTAATTCCAGAGTCCAGTGCGTTCCTCAGTCCTGAGTCCAGTGCGTTCCTAAATCCTGAGCCCAGTGCTCTCCTAAATCCTGAGCCCAGTGCATTCCTAAGTCCTGAGTCCAGTGCGTTTCTAATCCAGAGTCCAATTCATATACTGTTCTGCATTTCTGTATGATGTATTGCTGTGATTTGTAGTCCACCTACAGCCGGTGCTATTCTGCATTATAGTGTAAGCTCCTCTGTACAGAAGCGAATGTGACTGGCTCAGTATTCTCTGTACAGCACTGCGGTAAATTTCAGAGCTATATAAATGTATAATAGTGTGTGACTGTGGGGGGGCATTAGAGTGTAAGCTCCTCTGGTGCTGTGACCACTGGGGGGGGGGATATCGCGGTGCACGCCAGAGTGAGAGCAAAAATTCTAGGGCCAATATTTACGCGTATCTCTAGATTGATCACCTGTAGGGGCTTTTAAAGCATTGTCCATGGACTTTTTGGGGTACTGAAATTTGTTGCAGTTTTACGAACGCACACAATTTTTAACATGGGCATGTTGGGTATCTATTTACTCGTTCTAACCTCATATTTTATATTTTAGAAGAAAAAAGGGTTTTATATAGTGTATTGGGGCACTAAATTTAGCTTAAGTGAATTTTTCACTAAATTTTTGGCTTTGATAATAAGTGGCGCTAATTTCGTGCAACATAAAAATTTGCAACTACCACCGTTGTATTCTACAGGATCTTGGCTTGCTGAAAATATATAATGTTTGGGGGTTTAAAGTTATTTTCAGCCTTAAAATGTGGATTCTAATATGTAAACAAAAAACATGAAAAAAAGGCCTTGGTCCTTAAGGGGTTAATGATCTTGTTTTCCCATGGGGTAATAGACACCAGGGATGTCCTTTTACTTTCCACTACCTAGACATAAACATACATGATTCCAGTTACCTATCAGATTAGGGAACGTTTGTATGTCTATAGGATTTCCCAGATGCCTGATGGGCAACCCTTCAATGTGGAAGAATTGATTGGTTGGCATGGATTTCCTTGGCCAGTTGCCAATTGTTCACCCATGAGAGGCTAGCACCTGCAGTAACTTGCTCTCCACACAGGTACAAACCATGCAGGTTCACCCAATGTGTACTTACATTAATTTGTAATAACTATCGGTCATGAGCCAGATCAGGCGAGCATAGCCGGCCACTGTCTAGTGGCCGTGAGCACCTTTAAGGCGCCAAACCTTACATAGGCATATTTGGTAAAGCCGTGCAAACTGCCTTATCCGTACAACCCAAAAATATTATATTTACTGTGGTCACAAAGATGAAGAGATGCTTAAAGCGCAACTACATCCTCCTAACTTTTAAAGCCAAGGAACGTGCCATCTTGGCATCTATTTGGATTGCAATTGCCATGGTGCTGCACATGTGATCCGCAATGACACCAACCATATGAGGGCTTGAAAGCTTGGTTGAGAGCTGAAATAAGCACACTGACAACCATGACAGTTGTCATGCGTCGCATGTAACGGTTTTGAGAGACATTAAATTGGTGGGTCTAGTTCTGCTTTAATGTGTGTTCTAGGAACACTTTGACCCAATGATCATTTCACCGTCCTATTGGTCCTCACCCTTTTTTACCAGCACATCATTAAAGCTGACCTTTACCCATATCTTTAAAATAACAACAAACACACCTTCAGAAATGTTTAGTAATGACAATCTACAAACACATACTTCTAGATAATTGCCGGCTTTGTATTCCTTGCATACCTTATTTCTCTTTCCCAGTCTTCGGACAGTGGCCATGTTTATCAAGGGCAGATTACTAGCTCTTCTTTTACTTCCTGGGTTTCTGGCACATGTGACCATGTGCACCTCATCTCAGGGAAGGAAATTCCTTTCACTGAGATGAGATTTTCCAGCATTGCTCTGCTGATGACGAGGCAATCCCAGTGTGCATTGCTTTGGCAAACTGAAGTCATTTTGCCCTTTCAAAGCAGGAAGTGAATGCTCTGTAAGTATTCCATAATCACAGCATTTTACACCTGACATGTCTATGTTATTAATAATTATCATACACAGAGGGATGCATTGGTAGGATGATTTTTGAGTGTAAAGGTCCGCTTGAATGCTCCCTGAATGCTTTACTTTATTATACCAGCAAAGAACATCCTGTGTACATAATCGTGATGGTATACAGCTCTTTTTTCCCCCATTTTATTGTGCTGAGTTTGCCATCAGTTTCTTTTCTGCATGAATTGTGCATCAATAGGTGATGTAATATATGTGCCTCCTTGTTATGCTGGTGATTTCATTTCTAGATGATAGCTCATCGTGGTTGCGAACGTTATCCGCAACAGAAACATCTTTTAATAGACGTTGTGATTCACAGTAATTGCTTTATATGCAGGTCCGGGTGGAATGTCCTCCCCACCCCCACTGCATTTCCAGTGGCTTTAGGGACAGTCAGTGGCAAGCTGGCTCAGTAGGGGGGGCGGTGGGGGCAGGTGTCAGGGCGGGTCTCCAGGACAAGAGGCGGGG